ACACTCCTTCTGCCTTGCAGTACACGCTGGGGCTCTTTTCCTGTGCCACACTCTCCTCTCTTTCCTTGTGTAGCCAGTTCGGCCATCTAGGAGTGCTGCTTTTCTTCACCATGCTGGACAGCCCAGCCCACAAAGAATGCTCTCTTGTGCTGTTCAAGTTGCTTGTGTGCCAGCTGCCCCCACCCTCCATTCCACCAGCCATGGCGTATCTTGCCTCTGCTTTCTCAGAGGCACTAGAATTTGTCTCTGTTCCGTTTGTAATGCATACAGGCCTGGGCTATTAATCATGCCACAGGCCAGGCCGCACAGCACCTCTGGAATAATGAATGACCCAGCTCCTGCCAAAATGAGTCACACCATGGCCGTGAAAGAAACTTATCTCTCCCTGACTCTCTGCTCATCTTGTTCCTCCCTCTTCCCTTTCTCGTCTCCTGTGATCTGTCTTGCCAGTTGTAATTGGAGCATTTTCTTCTGTCTTTAAGTTCTGAAGTGTCTTTGGGACTTGTTAATGTATCCAAAGGCTTAAACAAGGCCCGTCAAGAACATTTATGGCTTTCTAGCATGGGCAGTTAAGTGTAGCCTGCAAGCAGCTTTGGGTGTATATGGCCAGGAATATAAATGTTCCTTTTGGAAAATGGGAGAACGCCATCAGAGGAAAAAAAAAAAAAAAAGAATCCTAATGATGCTATCAAATGAAGGCTTAAAGAAGTAACAGTATCTTCCAAGTCATGTGAGTTGACAGAGGCTGCACAGGTAGTTGTGATGGTGTGATCTTTGGTTTGAAAGGAGTGTTTGGGGGGGATTGAGGAAAGTCTGCCCAAGAGGGGTTCTGAGATAATGTGCACTAAATAAAGGAAATATCTCTTTACTGACCCTTCTCACTAGGTAATCCAGCATTACCTAACAAGTGAGGCCTCTGCATTTCCTTACTGTCAAAATATGCTTCCTCAAATTATTGCTGCACATATATTATCACTTAGAAATGCTTTGGGCTGTACTTGTGTTTCTCACATCACCAGAAATCTAGAGGCAGGCATCCCAGGACTTTTTGATGTCTTCAGAAACCCAGGCTCCTACCTTTCTGCCCTGTCATCATTAATTTGTTGGTTTATTGTCTCATGGTTGCAAGATGGATGCTGTAGCTCCAGATATTATATTTTTTAGTCAAGGCATTAAGAAGAAGGGAAAAGTTAGCAAGACACCAGCTGTATTTGTTCCTTATTTCAGAGAAAGCAGAAGCTCCTAAAAGATGTTTGTTTATGTTCATTGGCCAGAAGTATGTCACATCCCTAACTAAGATCCTTAGCTATAGAGGAGCCAGGATAGGCAAGTGTAGCTGTTCTATACTCTGAAATTGAGATGGCAAGAAAAATGGGGTTGAAAATATATGTTGGGTTAGCCAATAAACAGTACCTGCTACAGCCAGATGGAGGGAAATCATAGAAGACTAAGTTGGACAGGCAAAGGTAGTCTCACCTAACAATAGAGGAGAAGGAAATTAATAGTCTTGAGCCCCAGTGTGTGCCAGGTAGCATACCTGCTGATTACATGCATGTCACAGTGCCCCCATTGTGCAGTTGAGAAAGCTAAGCTGTGAGTAGGGTTCACATGTAGCTAATTTAGGAACCTGGATTTAAATCCAGATCTGTCTGATTTAAAAGTATGTTCTCTTTCTACCAATCTATGTTGCCTCTAGAAAATTCAGGCCAATTTCGTAGCATGATGCTGGGATGCCTCACTGAATCTCAGTGCCTTCATTGAGTTGCTAGTACCTTTGGTCACTGGTAGACAAAGTAAGAATATGGAGTAATTATTTTACGAGCCCCTGATAAGAAAGAACAAGGTGAATACTCAAGTCCTTACACTGTGATGATAGCTAAAAGAGAACTGGCCTTGGAGGCAGGAGACCCAGCTCTGTTTAAAACCCGGGTTGCTTTATGGTCTTGGATAAGTCACTTTCTCTTGTCTGGGAAACAAAGGTTGGACCAGATCTTCTATAAGGACTCTACCAGCCCTAGAACACGTAGGTTTTGCTCCTTTCTCTCATATATCTTTCATTTGTCATTCATTCAAGAAATACTTATTAATGGCCTACATATGCCAGGCACTGTTCTAGGTACTTGGAATACATCAATCAACAAACAGAGACCCCTGCCCTGTGGGCCTTGTGTTCGTGTGTGTGTATGTGTGTGTATGTGTGTGTGTGTGTGTGTTGGAGGCAAGGGCCACAAACAATAAACAAAACACAGTCAATTAGTGATGAGTAGAGACATGGTCAGGTCTGTGGGGGACCAATGTGGGAAAGGGGAAGAGGGACAGCAGTGCTGGGGAGGGTCCAGTGGTCAGCAGGGAGAGCACAGGAGTTGAGCAGAGACGTCATGGAGGGAGGGAGTCAGCCAGCACATGCTTGTGACACGCTGCAGGCAGAGAGAACAACTAGGGCACAGACCCAAAGGCAGAAGTGTGCCTGGGTCTTCTGAGCATTTTATTCCCCCACCCGAGGTCTGCTCTTGAGCTCTTCTTACCCCAGTGCCATTGTTCCTTTCAAATGTATTGATTTTCAAACCTGTTCAAGGCTTCCTGGGTTTGAAGGCCACTGACCTTTGACCCTGCTGTAGCAGTTAGGGTTACAGAGCTGGCCACTTCCTTCATACTTGTGCCTCATTTTACACTGCAAAAACACTCAGTTCCTGGGTGTACTGGGAAAATGGTGATAGAACTACCAAAGCCTGCAACTAGGAAGGTTTATCAAAACAGCACAGGGACATTTTGAGCCCACCCCTCCCCACTTCTAGACTATTTTCACTGTTTCCTGTTTAATGCCTCCTGCACAGGGAGTGACTTGGTGTTTTTGTCACGTTCCCAAACAAATGTCTTTGTCTATCAACCATAAAACCTCAGATACAACAGAGCTGAGTTTTCATTATCGCAGTTCCTGCTCCTGAGCCAACCTCAGGTAGGTGGCTGAGCCTTCCCCCTCAGCACTGGAGATGAGCTCGCTGAGCAAGGCCAAGAGCCGGTGGGAAACCGCAGTCACTTGTTGGGCTATGCAAAAACGGGGCCGGGCATGTTTAATGAAAACCTTTGAATACGTCTTGAAACATAACAGAGTAAGGACAAGGGTTGCCTTCTTGAGGCATGCGGAGAAGTTATTGGCATATGAAGACAGTGCATTGTGAAGGTGTGCCATTATTGCCAGTTAAACTGAGAACTGGCAACATTTGAAGTATCCCCCCTTGGTCCTGGTGTGAGGTTAGCATGTGCCCCAGCCACCTGCCGTAAGGCAGATTGCACTTCAGGAAGTAGCTAGACCCCCTAGAAAGCCCCTATCACATTGTGCGGGCCTCTGCCCATACACTGAGCAAGCCCAAGTGTCACTCACAGATTATTGAGAAATTTAGTTCTAAGGAATGACTCAGCTTGAGCTTCATAGTTCTCATCCAGTTACTTGTCTTTGTCATTACGTGGCCTTGACATTAGTTTGATGGGAATAGCAAGGAAAACTTAACTTTGATCTCTCTAATCTGAGTGAGGTTACAGGTGAGAATTTCAAATGATGTACAAGATGCAAGAGGCATTTGAAAGGAGAGGAGAGTGAGAGGCTGTATCAGGACGCAGGCCATTGAACCAAATTTGAAATTAGGTTTTCTTACCAATCTACTGTGAAACGGAAGCAGCAAGCATCTTTTGGGGGTTTCCTAACCTGGTTTTCCATCTGTTGGTTTGTCCCATGCCATGCAATATTTAGAGACAGCTGAGTCATTGACACACAGTGTGGGAAAAGCGTATCGTTAGACATGGAGATTGTACAGGTGGAAGTGGAAGCATTGGCCTAGAAAATTCTGATCTGATAATAAAACTCAGTCTGAGCATAGGAAAGAATACAAGTATACAGGGATCTCTATTTTACATATTAGTCTGTTTACAAGATAGAAGATATTTGTTCATCCATTCAGCAAATATATTGAGCACCTCCTACTGTGCCCAACTCTGTTCTAAGCACCTGAGATATGTCAGTGAACACCACCATCAGAAAGTCTTTCTGTCCTCATCTTACTAGGCTGAATCACAGGAAACTGTTGTTTTTGTAGGTTAAAAACAACTGAATCTAAATAACACCTGCTATATGATGCAGCCATTTTACCCCTAGCTATTTACTGAAAAGAAACGAAAGCATATATTCAAATATGTTTATACCAATGATTGCAGCAGCTTTATATGTAATAGCCCAAGCTGGAAACAATCCAAACATCCATTGACCAATGGATGTAAAAACAAACTCTGATATGTCCATAGACTGGAATACTATACAGCATTGTAAAGGAGTGGAGTACTGATACATGCTACAACACAGATGGGCCTCAAAAACATGCTACGTGAAGAAACTGAACACAAAAGGTCATATGTCATACGATTCCATTTATATAAAACTTTGGAAGATGCAAACTAATCCATAGTGCAAGAAAGCAGATGGGTGGTTGCCTAGGGACAGGGGAGCAGGGCTGGGGACAGGAAGGAGGGGACTACAAAGGAGCAAATGGGATCTTTTGGGGGGTGATGGAAGTGTTTACTGTCTTGATTGTGGTGACAGGTTCTCAGGAGCATGGAAATGTCATGTCATACCTCATGGAATGGTACACTTTAAATATGTGAAGTTTATTATATGGCAATTATAGTTCAAAGATAGTGTAACATATAGCAGCAGTTTTTTAAGTTCAATTGATGGATAAATCTCAGGGATGAATTAACTTTCAAAACCATATATTCATTTTTCATACATTTATTGAAAACTTGCCATGTGTCAAGGCACCACGAATGGTATTGTCAATGAAAAGTAGATGAGGCTATTTCTGTTTTAAAGCTTAGTGGGAGAAATAGGTTTGTGAACAGACAATTGAATGACTTTCCCACAGGCAGTTCTGAAGCAATTACCAGGTTTAACCAAGTTGTCCTTTGTTGATTGAATTTATGCATGCATCTGTGCCTTCCTTCTTTTTCAGAGTGACTTGTGGTCTCTGGGAATCACCGCTATCGAGATGGCAGAAGGTGCTCCCCGTAAGTACCTTCCTCTGGGGTGCAATCTGTTGCTGGTCCTCTCTGTGGGTGCTGCAGTTTCCTTGCCAGGAGCTGCAGTTGCTTTCCTTCCGCTACACCGAGCCCTGCATGCATTCGAGCTGGCGTATTTAGAAAGCAGAGCCATCTTAAATCAACCAGGAATCCATTCATTTCAGAGCTGTGTGAGAATCTTGTTTTTATGAGTAAAAAAAGAAAGAAAAAGAAAGCAGTCTTTGGGGAGTTTTGTCTGTTTTACAGACTCAGTGTATAGTTTATTCGTGAACTGCTCTTCACCTAACATAAAACTGACCAAACTCACAAGACCATAGACTCCAATGTATGAACATTTAAAGCTGATTTTCAATGTGTAGGTTATGCAAACACTGTACTCAATTGCTATCAATCCTCCTAAAATACTGAAGTTTAGGATCATAGATTTCCCTGCTATTGTTTGAGACAGTGTAGCCAAGGCTCTGGTGATCTTGAAACTCAAATTTTTTGAGATCTGGAGCACTGGCATTGCCAGGCGTCTCCTTCAGCTCTGTGGGGGTCGTGAGCATGTGCTCCCAGAGTCCCCTCCAGGAAGTGGGACTGGCTGAGGCCCTGGCTGCCGTAGTGGCACCGAGGCTACACCTCCCGAGGGCCACTCCTTATCAGAGACCAAGGGCGGCAGGGATACTGAGGCAGACCCTTTCCTGGAAGACACAGATTCCTTTGCAGGCAACTTTCACTCAAGCGATCCCCTGTGACTTGCCCAACCTGCCTTGGACTGAAGGAGGGTCTAGGACTTCCACCTACCTTTTCTCCCTGCCCCCTGCCCTCAGGGTCAGACTTGCATAGCAATCTGATGACTCTTCCCCCTGCCTGGGTCCCTTCCTATTTCTAGTCACACAGGAATTTCCCCCAGTAATATCCTTGAATGACTAATACCACCTTGGCTTCTGCTTCTCAAAGGACCAGGACCAAAACAGGCCCTTTATCTGCATGACAGGTCCTTATACTCATGACTTTCACCTTCAAGTTGTCATAGTTTTCTTATTTCTCAGTCTGGAGTTGGTAGCATTCATCTGCAGCATGATTGATTTGGAGAGTTTGTTGACAAAATTGCCCTCATTCACAATGCTAATAGGCAGGTATGAATCAGAAAAATAATATAGTGCAGTCTTAAAACCATATTATCATTCCTAATGAGTGGTAAATGGGGCTAAAAATAAACTTCTACCTACAGAATCCTTTGGCTTTTAAGAAGCATGTATTCTTAATCTAGGTACAAAGAAAAAATTCTCCCAGATGTTTGGAAAGTAAACTAATAAAATATTTTGATTAAAGTAAAAATGTATGAGTGCTTTCGCTGTAAATGATAATGTCATGTTTACAAGTTGAGATATTTTTATAACTTTGTTTTTCTGCCATACTCTGTTTGACTTAATCCTCTGGTCTTCCTGGGGCCAGTGAATTTAAAATCAAAACAAAACATAACCCATGATGAAACCTAAAATGCCATTCAAGATACCTGGAAACAGAGAGAATGGTATTTTGGGCTAGTGCTTTGGACTTCAAGAATCTACGTAGATAACATTGTGTTAGGATGAGTCTTCAGTGTAGGAAATATAAAGACTATGGATTGATGGAATTTTTTACTTTTATAACCTAGGCTTTTACTAATTAGAAATAACTTACCATCTCCATTGTGGTTGTCATCTGATGTTGTTTACTTTGAATGTCAGATGATTATTTACAGCAAAGATGACTGGTTTCTGACCCTTTAATTTAGTTTCCTTAAATACGAAGTAAAAGTACATTCACTAGAAATGTTAACAATGTCAGTTTGAAATGTGTTGTACTTTATGAGATGCCTTTAAGTAGACATTCGCTCTTTTAAGTGCTTGCTAGAGTGGAAGCATTGAGTCTTCTGAGTCCATGCTCACTGCTCCCGTGTGAACTCAGAGTCACTTGGCAGCATTTTCTGCACAGCCAGGGCAGGCTTGGCCTGGGTTTGGCCTCCTGACTGGAGCTGGCCTTTGCTTTGGTCTCTTGCAGCTCTCTGTGACATGCACCCCATGAGAGCCCTGTTCCTCATCCCCCGGAATCCAGCGCCTCGGCTGAAGTCTAAGAAGTGGTGAGTTTGGTCGTCAGTGTTTTGCAGATCTAAGCGTGAGGCTTTCCTGCGATTCTCTTTTGGATTAGCTCAAATCCCTAGGTCCTGCTGACAGGATGAGACTAATATATACTGAGACTTGGTGAATGACTTCCCACTTGCTGTCATTCTTCTTTAAGTACATATTGAGTAGCTACTATTTGTACAGCAAGTCTTTATCACCACACCTTCAAGGTAAGAAACTATTAGCTAAAATGGGTAGTGGAGCCCAAGTAATAACACGGAAGCTCTTTGATTTATAACCCCAAATGATATCTTACCTGGCAGCACAGAATATCTTATCAGAGAGTGTGATAGTTTAGAGAGTCAGCCTGTTAGATGGGCCGACTTCTCTTCTTTTCCTTAGTACAGTAATACCCTTAAGTGCATAAATGCACCTGGTAGTATTTGAGATGATTTCTCTGGCATGTGCATGAGCATTTGTAGGTTTTTTTTGCTTTTTCTGTTGTTTTCTCTTTATGACAGCAGATACTGGCTTCTTATTTTGGGCAGCCACATAACCTTTCCTTTAAATAAGCTTGTTCACATTAAAAGGTGAGAATTTAAAGAAAACTACTACATGAATACTGATACCAATCTAGTGATATTATTAATAGGTGTGGCACAAGTTGTGTTGATAGTAAACGACTGACTGAAGTTTGGGGAACAGACTTCTACAGGTCAAGCCAGTTGGACTTTTGGCGTCATTGTGTACTTATACTGCGACCTTTGTATCTTATTCTATAATTCATTGCTTGCTCATTTCCCGCTGTGGCAATGGTGTATCCTCTCTAATACATTCTTGGTTTTTTTTGTTTTTTTTTTTCTAATACATTTTTGAATCTCTGATTCCTCGTGTGCTGGAGCCAATTCCTGCACCACTGTGACCTTCTCTCCTTTCTCTAGAGACAAATCCAGGGCGGTGAGACCATGAAGGGACAAGACCGCTCTGCCTCTGTCCACATTCCCATCAGACCAGGCCCTTGACTGGGGTGCTCACGTTTCCCATGTGGCCCCCCACGGGTTCACTCTGCACCACGCACAGAGCAGTCTTAGGGACTGCCAGTCATCTGGCGATGACACGGCAGCCCTGGAGGAACAGGAGAAAGGCACACTGCACAGAGAGAGGGAAGGAGGCAGCTGGAGGAGAAGGCAGTTCTGAGGCCTGCCAGGGAGAGAGCAAGAGTTGCTATTGGTAACAGGGAGGCAGAGCCTTCCCTGCTCCTCCTTCCTCTCCGGAGGGTCCCTGTGGGAAGAGACGACCATTCTCTCCCCAGCAACAGCCTCCCATTGGGCATGGCTAGCACGTGGTCGCACGGCACCCCAGGCCCTGCTGCCTTTCTTCTCCCTGGATCAGACTCCTGGGGACAGTGGAGGTGACAGTGAACACTACAACGCCCCCCTGCTAGATTTCTGTATGTCCTTTGTGCCAAGCCTCTCCAGGGAACCTGCTGTATACAGTGGACTTTACTTACCCTGCTCCTCCTCTCCCTTCACTGCTGCTGGACATGTATTTTGAGATCTTGCACAGAGAGAGACAACCTGTCCACATATGTGTTTCATTAGACAGGCACTGTGTGGCCACACACCCTGTTTTAAAAATATGTGTATTAACTCTCAGCAGTTAAAAATCTGGTGACTGAGCATGACTTCAGATTTCCGGCCTTTTGTTTTTTGCAAAGATGCAGCAATATTGCCCTGTCGAGTAGCTCCTGCTCCGGTTTAGGGCAAGAGGTTGTCCTTAAAAGGACCCTCCCCAACTCAGAAGTGGGTGTCAGCTGGTTCTGACACTTGCCCCCCATCCAAGCCATGGTCTACACCAGCCCTTTGTACGACCCGCCTGGCCCCACAGAGAGTGAGTGGACAGCCCCCGCACCACCCCGTCGGTTTCCACTGACCAAGCTCCAAAACCATCAACTCTGCCCTGACCTTGTTTGAGAACTACAGACTTTTGGGACAACGCAGGCTGATTTTTCTGCTGCAAACCTTAGACAATCAGAACTAATTCTGCTAGTGCTGAAGGGAGTTGGAGAAGTATGGGAGCCGTGAGGAGGCCCGGCCAGTTCCATCACACGTTGCCACTCTGCCTGCCCTTCCCTGACCCTCGAGGAAGGCTGTTCAGGAGTGTGAGTCCCATAGTGTCACCAGGAGAGGTGAAGAGTGAGCAGGGGTGGGGGGAAGAAAAGCCCTGATAGTGGGTGCTTTCTCACTTAGATCCCGGCCTCTGCAAAGGTGATTGTGCGGCCTCTGGGCAGGGGATGCCCCCAGCACTTGATACAGCTCCCATTTCTCCCCAGTACAGCTCTACTTTTTAAGTGAAAATATTTAAGTACTTAGAGGGTGTTATCTTAAAGGACCAGGTCCAAAGTGATTTAATATAAGTTAGAGTTTGCTTTAATGGACTATAAGGTTGGGGGGAAATGAAACATTTTTTTTTTCTTTTTGTTTTTTTAAAGGACAAGACTCCGACCCTATCCCTCACCCCAACCAAAAGAAACAAAACTCCAAAATATTCTTTTATTTCGATCTGTCCTTTCCCTAAATAAGTTATCAGGTCAAGTGCACTCTTCTCAGTGTATATGTCAACACATGGCCAAAGGCAGGCGCCATTGTAGAGATGGAGCCATGAACTCTTTTCTTTATAAGCAGTCAACTGAGGGTCACTTTCTGCATTATCGAGTTACAACATACCAGGCATATACTAGTCTCTTAGCAGGAACAATTATTTTCCTTGTACCTTTAAGATTAGAGAAACAAAGGCAGTAGCACTGTTCTTCCCCCTGGAAGGAAGGGAGACGCCACCACTGACTGGAGCCTGGCTCTTCCTTCCCCCATCAGTGTGATGAGGCAGGCAGGAGGTTAGGGCATTACTGAATACTCAGGCAGTGCAGCCCTGAAAAAGAGCCTCTGGGAGGATTATAACCTCAGTTGAATTAGAGGAAACCAAGAATGCTCTCGCTCTGAGCCTGCATATCACTGCCAGCAAGTGACCAGTAAGGCTGTGACTCCTGTTTGCTCCTCCTGCCTCCTGTGTGTGGGTGGATTGCAGCTGCGTGGGTAAACCAGCTCCTTGCAGAGATGTTCTCCTCCCTTCTCTTCCCACCCCACTCATCCACGCTCACCTGCCCTCGCAAGTATACTCAGCGCCATAGCTTCCCTCCAAGGGTTTCTGGAGACGTACAGGGACGACTTCATTCCTCTAAGAACATGGTCAGTCTTGTTTCTTTCACATGCCCTCTAAATTTGAAGAGCCCACACAGGCAAAGCAGCGCTCAGTTGAGATCATTAGAAAAATATAACTTCTTCTATTAATAGATACAAGATTCTCTGGTCCAAACCGCTTGTGCCCCAGATGCAGACTTGGAGGCCCGGCAAGGTTGAGTGGCGTGTCCAGACAGAGTCCCAGTCTCCTCACTGGGAGAGCCAGCCTGGAACCCCAGGCCCCTGCATATACTCCGGAGCTTGCAGTCAGTCACTCCTGTTATTTTATGAAGCATCAGTTCTGGTTCTTTCTGAGTTGTCAGGTTCTTTTGTTTTGAGATATGACAAAGCTCTTGTGTGTGTATATCTGTGTTCTAAAAATAATGATAAGACAAAGCAAATATAGAAAATACTTCCAACAGACTGAATTTCCTAGTAGTAGTGTGACCTTGGACTTTATTAAAATCAAAACAAAAACTACTACACAAACTTTTAAAATTAATCTTTTTTGCACAGTCTCCTTGAAAATAACAGCCTTGTCAATTCTCCTTGCTTAACCTGTCCAACATTTAAAAAACACTTTATTCACTAAATTCAACAGAAACGGGGAATAAACAACTTCAAATTTCTGTACTCCTGTCCTAAAGGCAGATGCTTTGTTCCTTAAGCCTGGGAATGGTCAGAGTCTGCTGGGACATTGTCATCATAGTTACAGTAATAATAATAATAATAATAATAATAAACACATATATGGCATTTGTGATACCAGACACTTATCACCACCAATATTTATTTGAGATAAGTACTAATAATATCCTCATTTGCAGCCAGGGAAACTGAGGCACAGAGAAGTTAAGTAATTTGTCCAAAATCACACAGTAAGTGATGGAGTCCAAAGAAGAGAGAAAGAAGGTAGGGCCAATGGAAATTTTAAAGGTCAGATTGCACTAAGAGAGTCTTATGATTACCAAAACTTTTAGCCCAGCTGGTCATGATGGTTAATGTAACAATCTTTAAGGCATTTTAAATTACCCTAACACAATTTAATGTATAAACAGGATAAATCTGGGTATATGAAACATTTGGTGGCACCAGTAGTAGAATTAGTGCCCTCAGACTATAAGCACCAATCATTAGTATTTATTTCTCCCTGCCAACTCTTGGAAAATTAGTATTACTAACCTTAGGGCTTTATTTTTAAAGAAACAGAAGTAAATTACCATCAGAGATTCCAGCAGTATAGTTATATAAATGTACTTTGAACCTGTTAAAACACTCAGAAAACAGTCACATAATATTCAACATAGGTGAAGTATTTTCACTTTAAATTAAATGTGCAATTAAGCATATTAATTTTTTGGTCACACTAACTAAAATAAGAGACTTTGAATCCTTCTTTGAAGACTTAAGTAAGCATTATTTTCTCCTCAAACCGTACCATCTGAAGAGGAATACATTACCTATGGGATACATTACCCACCATATAGTTCTGCACATCTAGGCCCAAAGTTATTCTCTTGAATTTCTCTTGAGGTTCTCTTTCAGCAGGAGGAAGACTGGAAAGACAGCTTTGTTTGATAGCTGATTTTATTAACCCTTAAACACTGTTCCATCCTAGAGATTTGGCAATTTCTCTGGTTGTTTTTTTTTTAGATGTCAGTATCAGGGAATGGAAAATTCAGCTTACTAAGTCTGGATCTCATTTTTAAGTTAGATGTGATTTATTTATCATCCTCTAATTAATAGTTGAGCACTTTATGTAAAAAATGAACACTTTCCTCTAGTTGCCAACCAGAAAAAAGAGAATTGCCATTTTCATTCTTTGTGAATATTTAATACCTTCTGTCTTAATTTGTTTTTGTTTTGATCTTTTTAATACTGGTTTTCCTACCTAGAAAAGCATTGTGTGGAGCTTGTCTATTTCTGTTTGCAGACTAACCTCATTCTCTTCAGTTCATTCCTTAGGAGAGTCCATTGTTTCATTACAATTTTCTTATAAGGTCTCTCCTTAGATTATATTGTATTTATGCCTCCACATATTTATTTGACTAATCTGAGAAAGAAAATAATGTCTGCTCTCCAAACCTCCCTCTCTGTCCCTCAAAAGCACAGATTTGAGGGTAGCCATATTGCAGCTCTTGCCCAGAACTTTCATCCATGCATGCATTCATTCATTCATCAAACACGTAGAGCAGATAGTATGCTCATGATACGAAGATGACTTGGGAACATCCTGACACAGCTGAGAATTTCCAGTGTGCAAAGATCAGGGGAATGGTTTGAGGAACTTAATAGGGAAGCTCGTGGATTGTCCATCCTGTTGTCACTATTTCTAGTCCACACTGTGGCCAATCCTGATTCATCCTGGGGTGACCTCAAGCACAGTAGGTGACTCTTACTTCTATGTAAGATATTTTAAAAGCGTGAACACAGTTTTGAAACTTAGGGAGGAAAAATTACCAACAAATCAGTACTTCAAAAACGTGGAATAAGATGAAAAACTGCATTGGCCTAAGCAGAAATAGAGTGGTGCATACACAAGTGCCTTCTCGCGTTTGAATGTTGAAGAACATGCTCCCCATTGTGTTCTCACATATACCTCTCACATATATATGTATGGCCTGAGGACTATATTATACACACACACACACACACACACACACACACACGTCCTGGGGCCAAGCTTGGAAAAGACTTGCTCTGAGGATCCACTCCTGTAACTCCACAGTACACCACAGGAGGGGGACAGAGAGCACAACACTGATCTCTGGGCAGGGTGGAGAGGGTGACCAGGGTTTCCCCATCTCCCTGCAGTGCCTTCGAAAAACATGCCGTAGAGTCATGAGCCTAACTGTTTATGACTCTGAACAATTTCTTGGAACTTTCAGCAAGAACATACATGAATCATAGCTAAAGTCCACCGTTAATTTGTGTCACATTGTGGACTTGCTGCCATAATCCTAGGTATGGTATCTCTCACAGCTCTCCCTGCCCCTGTGAGTCTCTGGAATAGGGTTTATCTTTGAGGAAATATTGCCTTGGAACTTTCAGAGAGGGAGATAAATTTGCTTCTGAGTTTGAACTTAGTCCTTGAAAGTTAAATTTCCAAGTCCTTGAGTTAATGGCAAAGATGCATATACACCCTGTTCTTATTCATTGGAAAGCAAAGTTCAAAAGTGATTCTGAAACTACCCTTTAAAATTTTGCCTAATCGAAGTTCATTTTGCCATAGAAGAATCTCACTCATTCTACAAAATGCACACCCCCTTACCCATTCAGTCTTGTTTTTACTTTTCTTTAGCTTGCGTTTTCTGCCTCATTTAAGCAGCGCATCTCTATGGCCTCTGACATACTGCACTCTCATCCTAGCTTCAGTTTTCCATTGATTGCCTGCACACCTGAACTGTCCTTTCTTCAGAGCAGTTTCCTCCTGATACTTTCAGGCCCACCCCTGGGCTCCCTAGTCTAGCAGCCCTTCCAGGTGTGAGTCCTATGGAGGTCTTTTTCTTCCCCGATTCTTTTTGGTCTTCTGTGTAACATTCTGTATAAACTGTGCAAAAATGCTTTCCTGTCTCTTACTACTGTGTTACCTCCATGGTGCGTTGATGGTGATGATGCCTTGAACCCCACTATACCTGATATAGTGCCAGACCTATTTTGTGGTTGGTGGGTTCCTATGCTGCCCAATTGGACCTTTTCTGAAAACAAATTCTAGCATTTCAGAAAATATATTAACAAGTTTGCTTTTCCTTGGATTATCATTTTATCTGTGGATTCATCTCTTTTGTTTGACAGGTCAAAAAAATTCCAGTCGTTTATTGAGAGCTGCTTGGTAAAGAATCACAGCCAGCGACCAGCGACAGAACAACTGATGAAGCATCCATTTATACGAGACCAACCTAATGAGCGACAGGTCCGCATTCAACTCAAGGACCATATTGATAGAACAAAGAAGAAGCGAGGAGAAAAAGGTTAGGCGCACATTTGGTTTTCAGCAAAAGAAACAAAAGATGGGATGAATCCTGATCTATTGATGTATTTGGAGGTGACGTGGGCATTTCAAATGGGCCTGCGTTACTCTCTAGTGTGAGGGGCTGCCTCTGAGATCACAGCCTCTGGGCATCAAGTGGGTGAGACTACTAAAGTGGAATCTTTCATGAAAAAAATAGAACTGCAAAAACCATTACCTCTCCCAGGCACTGAACAAAGTCATGTTGAGTGATACTATGAGGCGCTTTTCTATGACAAGTGATTTTCTTAATTCAAGTGAATATTCATGTGTAAAAGACTAAAAAGCTATAGAAGACAGAAAACCTAAAGAAAAAAATTCATCTAGTTGACATTCTTCTATACTGACAGCTTCAACATTTAAGTTTTTGTGCTCTGAGGCTCATTTCTAATTCAGTTATTTAGAAGTCAGAAAGAATTTTCTTATAGTTGCAGTGATAGGAAAGATCATTAGGTTGCCAGGCGTGCTATCTGGAGCATCAGAGTTTGAGCTGAAGGTCATTTAATGCACTGCTTTATAAAATAGATACAAAATCTCATCTCTTTATGACTTGTACAGCACTGTCTTTTCACGGCATCATTGGAAAGCACATGAATCCAAACTTGGGGTTCCAGGACTATGCCCTAGCTGCTGAATCAAGGCTTACAATTCCTTAGCTAACATAGGAATTCTGTGCTAATACTATACATCAGGAAACAAGAAAGGGAGCTGCTAAAATGAGGCAGAAAATGCAAACTGGAGAAAAGTCAAACAACAGATAAGTCAGGAGTGCATTGTGTAGAAACGAGTAAAATTCTTATAAAGTGAATTTTGATTAGGCAAGTTTTTTAACTGGTAATTTCAGAATCAATTTTGAACTTTGCTTTCTAATTACTAACTCCAATTAACTCATGAATCGGGACTAAAGTCCACCATTAATTTCTACCACGTGTGGACTTGCTGCTATAATCGGTATTTTATCTCTCACAGCTCTCCTCTGCCCCGTGCATATTTGGCATAGCGTTTATCTTTGAGCAAATAGTTCCTTTCTAAGGAAGATAAGTTTGCTTTTGGAGATTAACATCCTGGCTGCATTCTGACCAAGGTGAAAATCCACATGGTCGGGAGCAGGTTTAATGGGTGCCTGAGCATCAGGTAGGGAGGCAGAAAAGGGAGGGGCACAGGAGGGGGGATGGGGAGGACAGCAGTGAGGACTTCCCGGGTGGAGAGCAGGAGGGGGAGCTGGTGACAGTGAGAGGCAGTGTGGGGCTGGGAAGGTGGGCACTAAGAGTGTGGTGGGAGTAGAGGGGACGACCAGAGATCTAGGATGGGAGGGAGGTAGATGGTGATGTGCTTAGCCTCACTTTCCTCCCCTCCACCTCTCTCCCCTTCTCTTCAATTCAGAGGGAGCAGTGGAAGGTGATGGATAGCATAGGATGGGGTTGCTCTTCTTTTGTTTGCATTTCCCTTCCTCTTTGCCTGTGCAGTTAATACCCATAACCCAGCACAGTGTGTCAGGGCTTGGGGTGGGGCAGTGAGCAGTGTGGGAGACCAGACTGGTCTGGAGACGTAAAATCAACAGAGGGCTAAGGCAGGAGGAGAAATCCTCAGTGAAGGTGAAGATTCCAGGAAGGATTCTTTCTTCTGCAGCCAGCCTCAGGAACCTGCAGGGAAGTGTGTGATCAGGTTAGACTCAGGGATGGGAGGTTATGAGGCTAAGCCAGAAAGGAGGCCCATCTCCAGGTGTCAGTGGGTAGACAGGGATAACATATCCAGTCAGACTCAAGGATCTGGGAGGCCAGCCCAAGCTGGAGGGACGAGACATGAGGAGAAAGGGATGGGTGGAGGTCAAAAACTAGGACTGATTTCTCAACTGCTCTTTGTCTAAGGTGGTCTTGGGCCTCTCCATGAATTCAAAAATTTTCAGGAAATATTTTAGGGCAGTGTGTCAGATATGCAAACTTTAGATCCCAAATTCTCTAAAAAGGATATTTTATTCTACTGTGGATATATAAAGTAGTTTAAGTGCTCAGACTCTATTTTCAGGTTCACATTCTGGGTTCAAATTCAGTTATGTGAACTTTAGCCAAGTTTTCTCATCTTTAAAATGGGATTAAGGGTATAATAATACCATCTATTGCCTGGCAGTGTTGCAAAGATTAAATGAGATCATGCATGTAAAATGCTTACAGCAATGTCTGGTACATAAATGCACTCAATAAATACTAGCTGTTCTTTTTAAGGCCATCCTTTATAGATCTATAATTCTTCAGGATGACTCAAAGGTATTTTGTGAGAACTCGTGACCTTTTTCCCTCTGACCCATGAATAAGAGGGTAAAGTTGTGCCTCAGGTTGTTTTCACATTTTTTGGCACAAACTCTGGAATATGACTCAGAACTCACCATGCCATGAAGATAGATCATTTTCAATGTGTTCATTCTCTACAGAGTGGAAAAGTAAGGTTCTTGGAAATAGGTATGTTCAAAAGTTATGTGGTAATTTAAGGAATCTAATCCTATTTGGGCTTAGGCCACCAGAATCACACTTCTAGTCTCATTTTTGTCTGTTCCCCAAGGAAGGGTATTGATCAAATGAGATCTCATTCCATTTGCTCAGTTTGAGCAAATGACTTAATTTGCTTCCTTTAGTACTACTTATTACTCTCTTAGTAGTTCTCTCTATGACCAGTTTTGGTAGAATCAAGCAATTTTACTTTGCATTGCTTTATGATTTTTTAACCTTTTATTTTTTCCTTAAGATATGTTGACACATGCTAATTTATCCCAGTGATATAAAAGCAATCAAACCAAATTCTGGTGAAGTATTAAAATTGAAGAGCCTGAAAAATGAAGGTTTTACTCTAGAGAGTAAAAGTAATTGGAATAATTGTATGCTTCTTTCCCTTGCTGTAATTTCCTTTATTAGATAAAATTTCTGCATTTTACTTTGAACTCTCTATTCATACATTTCAGAAAAGTTTGGAATATTAAACTTCCAGTGTGGAATCTTAAAACACTTTATGTAGGTTTTTTACATTTTAACAAATATTGCTTCAAAAATAAATAGCCTGAAAACTTCATACATATCTAAATGTATGAAGCTAATTTTTGATTTTAGAAAATACACTTGAATTCATCATGCTTTCAGTGTTGTTTCATAATCTCTTTAATGTCTCAATGGCGTGGATGTCAAGGTGTGTTTATAAATCTGAGAGTTCTCACTGCATGATTGCTGCCTCCTGGTGATAATATAACAGAATTGCAGTTTTAGTTCCTTTTTAGGGATGTGCAAATATCTCCAAGGTTGTCATTACTAACCCACAGCTATGAAGAGATAACAATTGTGTGACACCCTCCCTTGCATAAAAGCTCTTCCAAGAGCTCCTCATTGCCCACAGAAAATAATTCAGCATAGCATATGTAAGAATCAGTGAACCATTTCATCCTGCCCACCTTTCTCTCTCTGTGTGGTTTTCTCCCACCTAGCTACTCACAGCTCATTGTTTGCTGAACATACCATGCACTGTAATACTGCCAGCCTTACTCATGTGGGTATGAGCCTTGGAATACCATTTTCCTGCCACTGCCAGCTTCCTGGAGAAGGGCCACTAACCTCCCAAGGCTCAGCTCATTTCCACCTCGAAGACATCACTGTCCCCTCCTTCATGAAGTCAAGTGGAACTAGCTTCTCCTTCCTCTGATGTTTCACTGTTCATTTTATGTACTTCTATTTAGCATATGATATGTTGGAAAGAGCAGTGGTTTAAAGTTGGAAAAGTTTTCTGGATTGAATTCTAAATTCAAATCCCAGATTGGCTTTTTATTAATGAGATGACATTGGTCAGAATGTTTAGCCTCTTGTAATCTCAGTATCCTTGCTTGAAAATCAGCCATTATTTTAGAAGATTATTAAGCAAAATAAGTGAGAGAACATAGGTAAAACTATCTAGCATTAGTGACTGTGATGAGAGACACTCAGTAAATATTTGTTTCTTTCCTTTCTTCATAATCATGGAAGCTCTGATTATTGACTCATCTTGCCCATTAGATTCTGATCTCCTCCAAAGCAAAACTCAGTCTTATTCTTATATGTGAACTTGCTTAACATTTTACTGAATTAAATGAATTTCCCTAGTGGATCAATCAGAACATATTTTAACTATATATTTTTAGTAGCACCCATTGTCAAAAGTTGATTTGTTGCATTTATCAAGATAATGTCTGGACAATTTGTGAGTCCATGTAAGTCATAGTAAAATCTTACTTTAAAAACAATTAATACCATCAATAAGTTAATGATGGGCCAATAGGTTTGGTATGAATTTATAATGAGGATCAACACAAACAGAAAAGTTATTTTTCAGTTCCTTATCTTCTCTTCCATGTGAACATTAGGCATTGAAGACATATATCTAGAGTCAGCTGTGATAATCTTAAATGTGGTTATTTCCACATAAAAATTCACCTAGTGGGAACTGTTGAATTGTAAATCGGGAGGCCTGGAGTCTGTTTCAGCTCTATGTTAACCACGGCTCTTTGAGCTTAATTTGTTTATCTATAAAAGGAGGGGCATTGGTCTTTACTGAGCTGTATCATCTTTTTATGTGCTAACACTCTGGGAATCTCTCTTTAGATGAGACAGAGTATGAATACAGTGGAAGTGAGGAAGAAGAAGAGGAGAATGACTCAGGAGAGCCCAGGTATGCAAGCAAAAGCCAAGTCTAATTTTCACATTCTGAATTGTGCTTGTGCGGAATTTACTTTCTTTTTGATTTATAGGTTCATTTTTAAGAATCCACCAGGGTGGTCTTACTTAATTTATGGCCCATGAATATACTCATTAATTTGGGAAAATTTCCCTAGGCAGACTCTTACAAAAATGTGGAAATCAGCATATTCTTTATCTTATCCCCCAAGATTTATAGTCTGTCTCCTAAGAGCTTGTTTCCTCATATATGTGCATGTAGAATGGGTAGGAGGCAATTATCTGGGTAATGCAGGACTACAAGTACTTGAAATTGCAACTTTCTGGAGACCTAAGTGATATTTTTGGACTAGAGTTCTGCAGTTCATTACTTCATACCTTTGAGAAGCCCATTCAGGCAGCCACTGTCCTTGTCATGTGCCTTAGTATTTTTACCACCACCTAATCCAGGAGGACATGATTTCCAGGAAGTCAAATTACATGCTAGAAGTGAAGCCCAAATAGAAACTCACATGCCATTCCTGCTATCACATGCTACACCCCAGAATCAAGTGCTGCTTTATTATTGTCATCCCTATACTTTGTATTTCACTTGACTTTGATTCTAACTTTCTTCTAGTCTGTGTTTATAAATAATTAAGACTGGTGGGCTCACACTGCCAGGATTTCTCTCTTGGGAGAGAATTCAGCTGGCAGCAGCTTGGTGAGTCAAGGGGAGGAGGCACACATACCAAGGTGCTACGCACTGTGAATGTTTAGTAAGACTATGGGGAGAAGATGCACAAATAGGAAGGTCACCAGGGTAGATGGGTCCCCATCCTCTAGGCATGCAAGGAGTGGACCCTAATGGGCCACCTCAGCCACCACTGCTAGAATGAGCTAGATACCATGTGTTTTTTTGTTTTTTGTTTTTTGAGTTAACTCAGACCTATTAAGCTGGATTCTTACTAAGCTACTATAAAAGGGTGGAACTGGGCTTACAGGGCTATCCAGTTTTTCTCTCATCTGCCATAGGTTTCCTCAAGGCCAAAGACCAAAGGGGAATCTTTTTGTTCCACCTGATATATAACATGTTGGCCACTTCCAGTTTAGCTGAGTAGAGATGACGACTGTCGAGTAGTGACATGTAAAATGAACATTCCTATAAGGCCAAGGACCAAGCATGCTGTGCTCAGAGAAGTTATACACTGTTTTTCAAAGCTTGCCCAGATGACCACTGTGTCAGCCCCTGACCATTTTCTGTAGAACTAAGAAACCCTGTCTTTCTAACTCTTGCTACACTGCATGTTAGGAGTCACGGAGGGGGCCTGGCTGGCTGTACCCTAACACTTCTATAAATGTAGCCGGTCATTATATCACATCAGAGATTATGTTCTTGTTTTTATGGATGCATCTAATTAATCTTCATGAAATCCTGAAAAGGAGAGAAGGAGCATGGTTATCTCATTTCAGAAATGAGGTGACAGCTCAAGGGTGGTAACCAGGTCACACACAGAGTTCATGATTGAGTCGCTAACACAGCTCGGTTCTGCTGACACTGCGGCAACATCAGTTAACATTAATGGAGCATCCTCGAGTCATGTGAGGCTGGATTCCCAAGCCCATCACCTCTGCACAGAGAAAGTGGCCTGTGTAGATAAAAGCGCCATCATAGGGGGTTGGTTTTAGAGTTTTACACAAAGACTCTAAGTTTTAGAGGAGGCTTGTTATAGACGCCAAGCATTGTCTATGGACGTCACAAACAAAGCCCTTTTATGTCATTTTATGGCAGTATTTCAGCATACTAACCACTCTCTAAAACCGAGCCATGCTCCTCTTGTCGACCGCCAGCAGACCGGCTCCTCTCCCGGCATGCCTCACACCAGTTCTCCTCACCAGCGCTGCTCAGCCACCAGGACAGCCTGTAGGCCGTCCCGTGCTCCCCACGTCAGATCTGTCCACAGGCTTCACTAACTCCATCCCTGCAGTGCTTCTTCCAGCCCCCACCCCCTGCTCCCGTCCTGGGTGGTGTCTGTACCCCAGGGCTGCTGCAGCAGTACTCACACCCCTTGCAGGCTGTCATCCATTCAGCAGCCAGACAGACCTGCTCATGTTCCTCCTCTGCCTAACCCCCTCACACCCCGGGCATGGCCTTCACGGCCCACGGGCTGTGCCCCATCTGCTCTGTCTCTCAGACCTCTTGAACCACTCTCCCTCTCATTCACTCTGCTCTGGGAAGACAGGCTGGTGTTCAGTGCCTCAAAGAGGCCGCACCTGTTCACACCATGGGCCCCTAAAGTTGCTTTTCCTTCTGCCTGGAACATTCCTTCCTCCTCCATTGACTGCCACCCTCCTGGAGAGGATTTCCTGACCACCGCGCCTAGAGCCCTAACGCTCCCTGCCTCTGTCACTCCCAAACTGTTACCCTTTCTTGTCTTCTACAGAACCTACTTATACCTGAAATTACACTGTCTGTAATTATTTGTCTGTCTTTCCCACAAGAAGATAACCTCTAAGGAATTTGTTTATCTGGTGACTGCTCTATCCCTAGGGCTGATGGCAGTGCCTGCCAGGTAGCAGGTACTCAGTAAATATGTGTTTAATGGATTTATTTCTTATTTATTTCTGGAAAATTCCAGAAAGATTAAAAGGGCTAGGTTTGAAGAAACAAATAGAAGTCTATTTCTCACTTTCCTGTTAGGCTGCTATGCAGACCCAAGGAGTTTGAAACTTAGTTGCTCACCTGCAGTTAGATGCAGGTAGGGCAGCTCTACACCCCTGGCAAAGTGGGTAGAGTATATACGTCTTCTTGTTCTGTCACATGTAAGCACACGCGTGCGCACGCACACAGTCACCATTTTACAGATGAGGAAGCTGTTGCTTAAACAGAATATGAGAAGCAGTGAGCTGGGTTGAAGTCCCTGCTGTTCCCTCTGCCTCCAGAACCAAACCCGAGGGGTGTGGTGCAGTGAGACAAGCCCTGACTTGGGCTTAGCGGACCGGGGTCGGATCCTGGCTCTGTGTCGACCCTGATGCAAGCGTTTCCCCTCCCTGGCTCATCCTGTCTTCATGGGAGCAGCCTGACCTCTAGGGCAGTCTGTGCTCACGGTGAGGTTTCCTCATCATCCACCGTTGTTCATTTTTATTTGTCTGCCTCTCTCAAATGTGCAGATAAGCTGGCTGGAGCTCAGCACTTGCACAGTCGCTAAAGTCTTTGGAAACAAATCTTTCCCATGTCACAGGGTGAGGGACGGTGCTGGAGGAGGTGACGGCTCTGAGGTTGTGACACCCGTCTAGGGATAGAGACAGCGTATGTGTGCGGGGGTGCTGCTGAGAGGGAGGCTGAACTCTAGGCTCTCGTTCCAGCTCTGTTTCTTTGGGGGCAAGTGATTTAATTAGCAGAGGAGCTGAGAGCCTGTGCTCTTCCTTCCCGTGTGTGTGTGTGTGTGTGTGTGTGTGTGTGTGTGTGTGTGTGTGTGTGTGAGTTATTTGCCCACAGTCCTCCCCCAGGACTCACGGTAGCCACGGTGGCTGCCCCACGCGGGTCCTGACTCTCTCTCCTGCCCACAGCTCCATTCTGAACCTGCCAGGGGAGTCCACGCTGCGGCGGGACTTCCTGAGGCTGCAGCTGGCCAACAAGGAGCGTTCCGAGGCCCTGCGGCGGCAGCAGCTGGAGCAGCAGCAGCGGGAGAACGAGGAACACAAGCGACAGCTGTTGGCCGAGCGCCAGAAGCGCATCGAGGAGCAGAAGGAGCAGCGGAGGCGGCTGGAGGAGGTGAGGCCCCACTCAGCCACCTCTGCACCCAAGCCCCTCAGCGGGGCTCGCTCCTTGAGGTTGGGGCCACCTCCTACGGAGCACACAGAGCTCCACGGCAAAGGGGACGAGGCCTGGACGCAGGAGTCTTGCCCTGCTCTGGTGGTGATGTGGTCACCGCAGAGAAGCAGGAGAGGGCCTCCACGCCCTCCCGTGTTGCCACACGTCACCTTCTCAGCGAGGCCTTCCTCCACACCTCGCTTACACTCCCAGCTCTCCCTCCAGCATGTCCTGCTGCCCTTCCCTGCTTTGTTACTTTTATGCGTCTCTTATCCTCTTCAGACATGCTCTGTCTGTACTTTCACAAGTCTGGATATCCCAGATACATGGAGCTAGAATGTAAGCTCCATGAGGACCGTGAATTTCATCTTTTTTATTCCCTGGTGTATCTCTAGTGCCTAGAACAGTGTCTAGTGCACATGGTAGGTGCCTCATAAATATTTGTGGAATGCGTGAACTAATATATGAATGAATGAGTCAGTGATTGAGAGGTGAAATACAGGTGTTAACTAGACCATAAGGAACAGGCAGATAAGTGGAATGCCAAGCATGGAAAAGCAGGGCCTGCCTATTCATACACCAAGCATTTTATAAGTCCTTCCCATCATACCCCTTAGGACCCAGGGCCTGTCCTGCAGCTTGTGGACAAGACCTACCTTCAGCAGCAGATACTGCCCTTATCTGTGTGGGAAACAGTACTGCCAGCCACAGTTTCCTGCATGGCTTGTCATGGGTGAGGCTCTCACCCTTGTGGTTTTACAGGCATTTGTTAGAGCTTCCTTCCCAGAACCTTGCCCATGTCTCTGAGGCTCCCTCCTCTGCCAGATACATCAAAGCCTCTAGACAATTAGGAAACCCAGAGCACATAGCTACTGGGGAAGTTGGGCTGCGGATGAAAGTTCACTAACTGCACAAGAATGGGGTGGTAGTTTTACAGGTCTTCAAATACCAGCTTGCTCCTCATTAACGCATTTATAGCGATTCACTTGCTTTGTCAGGTGGCCACTGCAGAGTTAGAAGGTGGTGAATTGCAGGCACCAGGAGCAGATTGCTTTTTAAATGGTACATCAAGGTCCAGCCTTCCTGGTTTAAACCAGTGAGGGCCTCAGTTTCAGTGTGCAGTAAATCCCATCAGCCTCATTATGTCCCTGGAATATTAGTTTCAGACCAGCAACAATAATACTCAACAGTTGCAATTATGCAGTGATTTCTGTGTGCCAAGTACCAGGCAGGATGCTTTGCTTATAGCAGTATCTCATCTACTATTATTAGCACTTTGCAGATATCTATTATCTCTCATGCAAAGTGCATATAATCCCTGTTTCACAAAGAGGAAACTGAGGTTCAGGGAGGGGAAGTACTTGGTCCTATGTTGCAGAGTACTCTGATCTGCACTTTACTTGCACCGTCTCATTTAGTCCTCACGATGATCTCCAGTGTAAAGCTAATATGCAGCTGAGTCTTAGGTTAATAACTTGCTGAAGGTCACACAACTTGAGAAAAAAACAGGTTTCAAATTCAGGGGATTGGCCTGCAGAGCCTAAGCACAAAGTCACTGCACGTCCCGCCTCTCTGCTGATAAGCCTTGGTTGACAGGCTTTCCTTACTCTTCACCTGGCCTCTACTTCTGTGGTCTTTTCCTCTGAACATTTAAGGGTTTCTCAGCAAGGGCAAAGAATCTGTGCCCAGTGGGTGCTTTGAGCTGGGTTCTGTCCCTTATGCTCCCAGTCAGAGCTACTGCCAAGGCCACCTTTGCATTTCTTCTCTTATGGCATTTGCTGGAGCCCCTATGAGGGATGCCAGTCAGGGGTCAGCTCACTGTGCGGCATGTGCATCTGCAGAGACACATCCTGCAGGTCCTGGCTTGCATAGCAGACGCATGCATGCGGACGCAAGCCCTTTGCTCTGTGTCCCAGGGGCACAAGCCTCTAGCTTCTCACCAGAAGCAGGAACACAAGTGGCCACTGGGCATCAATAGATTGTACTTGCTTTATCTTTTGATCCTTTATTTTACCCTATAGCTCAATAGAAAAGAACAAGGAATATGAAATAGAGAGCTGTAAATTCTGACCCCTAAGTAATGACATTCTCTGCCACCAGGAAGTCCTGTCCTGGGTCTCACTCCTGCTGGATCCCCATCCTTGCCTGCTGCCCTGGCCTTTGGTGACCATTTGTGTTTCTGGTGTCCTGAACTTGGACTACGTTGTCACATAGAAACCGTTTTAAACCCATACTTCAGCTTGAGAATTTGACTTCTTTGTGGGTCAGATGAGCTTTTGTAGGCCTTCTGGAAACACATTCCCCTTCTCTACAAAAGGCCACTCAGACACCCCTTTGGTAACACAGGACTGTGTGGGACGCAGCCTTTAAGGTATTGGGTGATCTCACATGTCACCTAAAACCAGAGGGTTTCTGAGGAAGCCCTGCATGTCCTTTGCTACTTATGGGTAACCACGTGGATTTGGATAAGCTCTAAATCAGCGTCTGTATATTCTTAGAAGGATTTTGAATATATGCTGAATGTAGTCACTTATCAGCTTTATGAAAAGGACATGGCTTCAGGCCAGTTAAATGGTAGGGACGAAACTCTTGGCTTTTGACCAGTGATAAAGTATAGTTTATAGCTAAGTTCCAGGAACTTGATTAAACCCAGCTAAGGTGAACGAGTCCATCAATAGTGAGAAAAAGTGCAAAGAGGACCTCTTTTGTTTTAACTCAGTTCAATAAAAATTCTATTGCTCAGCATAAATAAAACATAACTTGTTTTATTCTGTGTCACAGAGTTAGGGACCAAGAATAAGGACCTTGAGGTGTTGAAGCTCCTACTCTGGTAATCTCAGACTAATCCTGAGCAGATTGGTGGTGCTGTTTGATTCTACTCAAGAGTTTTGAAATGATAGTAGTGATGTATATATTTGTTTCAACATGCTGAGAGCATTCTATACTTTCAAGGGTTGTGGGGTCCCCTTAAGTCACAGGAGTAAATCAGATTGACCCCACGACTGCCAACCCCCTCCCTGGGAGGAAGTTTTGTTCTTTGAAGAATTGTGTTAAGTTTTTTAAGCCACCAAGTTCTCATTAAGTGCCTTTCAAGGCCATGATAACATTGTCCATTCATAAAAACAACCAGTTCTAACTAAAAATAATACTGCTTAGGTTATATCACTTGAAATTTGATTTTTAAGAAATACCACCTATATCTTATTGGCCAGTAGTAGTGGAACATTAATGTATAAAATAAGGGCCTGGCACTCTAAAAATGTGAATTCCCTATAAGCCTCTAACTTTTTATCGTGAATGACTGGGACTAGCAAGGATATTGGGCTCAAGTGTTTTTAAAAGTGTGAGGAAGAATGAAAACCCTTTCCCCATGCCTGTAGGCGTTCATTTAACAAATATGCAGCGAATGCCTCTGCTGTGTGGGCACATTGCTGGGCACTAGAAATAGTGTCCCCTTACGATGACTAGATCTGTCATTAGGCAAATAACCAGCCAAGTGATCATTTATCGTCATTGCCATGACAGCTGCAGTGAAGAACTGCGAGCTGAGGGAGGAGGCCACAGAGGCGTGAGCCCCCCACCCCCCCCTCCTACCCCCAACCCCCATCCCCCACCCCCGGCTGGGGGCCAGTCAGCCAGAGCCTCGCTGGGGAGCACGAGGAGCACACGGAGGGGCTCGGCAGGGAAGCCAAAGCGCCGTCATGCAGAGCTTTGTAGGCCAAATGGATTACTTTTGAACTTTATTCTAAGAAGGATGGGAAGCCATTGATGTGTTTTAACCAAGGGAATACAGTCAGATCTGCCTTCTTCAAATGAAACTTTGCTGCAAGGAAAGTGATTAGGAGGAAGGAGTGGATGGGGAAGACAGAACAGTCCTCAGGGGGGCTGCTTTGGGTGGACGGTGGTAGATGGGGACTGAGAAGAGTGGACACACTTGAGAGAGCTGGAGCCTGTGGAACCTGCAGGACGTGGAGTCGCTTAGATGGCGGAGAGGAGGGGGCGCAGGCAGTCACTCACAGTAGTTCCCCACTGTCAGACTAGCGCAGACGTGTGGAAGGAGAAGGGGGAGATGACTTCAGAATGAGATTAAGATGCATATGAGGCGGTGAGTGGTGCTGCCAGGGATGCAGCTGGGCCGTGCAGGTACAGCCATGGAAGAGCAGTCGCAGGTGAGAAAATGGGAACTATTGGTTTATGGCAATGGAAGTGTATGTTGAGAAGAACAGAGAATCTGGGCCTGAGCTCTGTTAACTCAGACTAGAGGAGGAAAAGAGACAGCAAAGAAAATGGATAAGGAAGTAGAAAGAGCACCAGGAGAGTCTGATGTTGTAGAATTGAAAACAAAATTTAGTATTCAAGCGTAAGAAAGGAGTTAAAGGGGCCAGCTGTGCAGAATGCCCACAGAGGCCAAGAAGATAACAGCAGCCTTTGGTTCCAATGACAAAGACGATATTTAAATGTAGTTCATGTGTAGTACTCTCTAGAAATGCCTTCATTTCCTTTTTGGGGGAAAGTCAGAAGAAACTGGAAGGCCCTGCCTTGTACCACCTGCAGTTCTCTTTAATCTCCTCGCACCCTGCTCCTCGGCTCTGCAGGGAGGCTTGTTCCCACCACCAACGTTGTTCTGAGGATGAACCAGGAAAATGGACATGAAAGCACTTTGTCGACTGCCAAGAGCTGGACAGATCTCACTTTTGAAGGACTTGTCAAATTCAGCTTAAAGATTTCTAATGAGGTACACCTCATGCTTCTGCTTAGAGAAGTTTTCATAGTTAAATGCTCACCCATTTGTTGTCGGCTTTTGCTCTCAGTCTCTCTCAGCGTTCACTTTTCACCTAGGGTGAGCAGGCCAGTCGCGCAGACGCTGTGCTAGCCGGAGCCCAAGCCCAGAGAAGCCACTGGTGCACAAGGTTGTTCTTCCGAACCTCAGTAGTTTCTCCCAGATACTTTTAGATGCCACC